TTATTTATCATGATAAAATCTTTCACGTCATGATAATAATAAAAATGACAGTAAAATTAGTCTTGTAACAACATTATACCGATTTGTAAAAAGTAATGTGAATATAAACATTTATTATTTTTTAAAAGTAATAAGATCTATTTTAAATATTAATTATTATACTTCAATTATAAAATTTTATTCACTTATTTCAGTTATGAAAATAGGAGTAAATTCTTAATTTATAATATCGTAAATAGCAACTCGATAACTTATATACTTATATGACGTCTTGTCTGTGATTAATATATCTTAAAGTGTCCTAAATTTGGCTATTTTTTCCAGATTTATTACACCTTGTAAATCAAGTGATGAAAACGAAGTCAGGGATCATATCCAAAAAATATACGCTTTTATTAACATTTCGAGATACACAAGACCTCCTTTATCGCCCCACCCTTTAACCACCAAAATTTACTAGCATCGTCCACCAATAAACAAACCTCCTTGCAAAATTTCAGAAATTACCAACAAAAAAGCACAGGAGTTATTAATTAAGCTTCAAAGAGGGTAAACAAAATCGTGCCCATCACACATATACAGGAATAATCCTCGAAGTTTTTGCATTTCTCGACGTTTCAAGGTATATTGAGTCAAAATATATAAAAATCTTGGGGGGAGGTCAGTTTTTGACTGATCGCCATACTTTTCCTCTGTTATAGGCTGTTAAAAGCCTATAGAAGAGGAAAATTTTATATTCTAAACTTTAACATTCTAAACTATTTTTATTTTAAATTTACATTTACAGTGCCAATTATAAATTTCAAATTCATAAAGTCGCAAAGTTTTGCTAAAGAGTATTATACCATTTATTTAATATATATTAATAATTATGTTTTTATCTCTTAAAATAATTTCAGGCTATTCAAAAACATTCATTTGAGAATATTTAAGAAATACTATTTATGCAAATCACGCCGAATTTATTTCGCATAGCGCCATCCACACGGATTGAGACTAGCTTAAGATTATTCATTTCGGGTTAACACAATGGGCTAAATCATATAACTTACGCATAGAAATATGATCTTTAACTTTGTGAAAATTAAAAAAAAATACATTTTATGATTATAAAAAAGGAAATAAATATATTTGCTATTGTAAACTATTTATATATTATAACTGTAAAATTTTACGAGTACTTTGTGAAATAAATTAAATATTTTCCTATATTTGACTTCGATCACTTTCATAATCACCGGCACATAATTACATATATGGTAAAGCATGTACTGTACAATATGAGCTAATGAGTTACTAGTCAACACCAGTAAGAAATAGAAAAAGATAAACTTAAAAAAATTTACAAAAGGTTCTTAAATAAACAATACATTAAAAATGTAATCAAACCTTTCTCCCTTGATATTTCGTATATNTTATCTTATATTAGGTATATATTATAAAGGTCATTATTCTGTCATCCGACAACCATCAGTTGCGTGCGTAAATATCCGTAATATTTCTTAAAATAAATGTGCCTGAAGCAATTTACAAACAATATTATGTGAACTACGTGTTTAAAATAAATTTACTTTAAGGAATATTAACGATATTCACGACACGCAACTGATAGAATAAGGATGATGATGTCATACAGATTGACGATTACAACGCTTGACGGAGAATTACTCCAAAGCAAATTTTATATTTCGTATTTAAAAGTAAAATATTTTAATTATTAATTTTTAATAAGTTTTAATGAATTATAATTAAATTATCTCGAATAACGAAGCATATATTATTTTCCCGGCTCTGTTTTATATATAACAGAAGAAAAATAAAGCGATCGATCAAAAAATGACCCCCTCCTTCAATATTTCTATATTTTCGAACTCAGGGAACCTTGAAATGTCGATAAATGCAAAAATATTTGGGGTTTTTTTCTGTTAGTATAGATGTTAGTGTATGTGTGTGTTGGGGGGGGGCACGATTTTTTCACTCTCTTTGAATCTTAATTAATAACTCCTGTGCTTTTTGTCGAAAATTTTTAAAATTTTCTGGGAGGTTTGTGTGTTAGAGGAATTGGTGCTATTAAATTTTGGTAGCAAAGATCAACGGGACAGAGATAAAGGGGGTCGTATTTCTTATCTCGATTACCATCGGACTTAATGACTAGTTATTAGTACAGTATTTACATTTTTTTTAATAAAACCTATTTCTATCCTGAAAATTAAGTTTTTTGCCATGTTATAATAATTAAGAATATAAAAAGTTTTTAAATAAAACATCACAACAGATGACGCCACACACATGCAGTTTTAATAGTTGCCGGGAAAGTTAAGCAACTCGTTGCTGGTTTTTTGATGGAGTTTATATGGACGGATTAAAAATGTTAAAAATTTTAAACGTAAATCAATAAAATAGACGGAAAATTTCAATCATTTAGTATTATAATAATAAATTAATCAAAAAATAAATTTAGAATTGTATTAAGTTCAACATATTCCAATGTATCATTTAAAATGAATATTTTCTCTTATTTTCCATCTATTTTATTCAAATGATTAATTATTCTCATAAGAAATAGCCTCTACATGTAACTAATATTAATTATTTATTAAGAATCATATCCTGTCAACTCTACTATGAAAAATAAATCAGTAATGAAAATATAATTAATAACTTCACATTGCAGCTATACCTTACAGAACTCTAACCTAGCTCATATACTTAATTCAAATCATAGCATTAAAAGTAATTATTTTTATTTCATTAGTCTCGTAATTCAAATTTTAACAGCATTTAATTAACAAATATTATATTTTCAGAAAAGAAAACATGTACACGAAAATATATATGCTGTGTGGAAAAGAAAGACTCCTCTAATCTGTCTGCCTGTTTAATATCATGCAACGAATATTGGAAATTATTATTACAATCAATGACAAATTATAAAATCATATCCGTTATTATTTTCTCTTATTTGGTTTATCTTAGTATAGCTGCCTGGGGTTTCACTCAATTAAGTTTCAGAGCTACATTTAATATGGGATTACTATATAATTCATATCAATATTCCTATTTTAAAGCATACCAAGACAATTTCCATCAGTATCAGTACCGACTGCAAATATTTATTATGCAAGAACTGGATTATGCAGATCCCGAAATCCAAACTAAAATTGAAAATATAACGCGGTCGATCGAAAATGATCCGCTGATTTCTGGGTCCCTCTTTACAGAGTCTTGGTTGAGAAGTTATCTTCAATTTATTAATCACAAAAATGTTGTACCCATGTTACAAAGTTTTAATTTAACCGATTCGAAAGACTTTTTATTAATTCTTCGAACGTTTTTCTTTCGTCATCCCGCAGCCAGGAGATTCAGGAAGGATGTTGTATTCGACCAAAATTATACGAAAATCGTTGCCAGTCGTTTTCTTTTCCAAACGAACATAACCAGAAATGGAAATCAATTTTACGATCGAGTAAAGAATTTGAGAAAAACATTAGAAAAATCTGAATATAGAACAATTTTATACCATCCGTTATTTTATTATTTCGATGTATTGGATGTGATACCCGTAACAGTCGTTCAAACTCTGACGTTGATTAGCGTTGTGGTATTCGTAATATCCGCCATTTTCTTATCAGACGTTGTTTCTATTCTTTGCGTATTGTTGACAATATTATCAGTAATGTTTGGCGTCGTCGGTTACATGTCTCTTTGGGATGTCAGTTTTGGAATAATGTCTATTTCCATCCTAGTCATGGTTTGTGGATTTTCTGTTGATTATGCAGCGCACGTGGTTTGTGCCTACAGTTCATCGAAGGAAACGGATCCGAAGAAACGCCTGATCACTGCAGTCGGTTTAACAGGAATGCCAATTTTCCAAAGTAGTATTACAACGATTTTAGTGGTTATAGTTTTTGTAACTCGTCCTTCACTAGAATTTTTCGTTTGTATGAAAATCATAACATTAGCTTCTCTAATATCTGCGATTCACGGAATTGTTTTTGTTCCGACAATCATGTGTCTCTTGAATTATACATGGGATCATTTGTTTCCAAACAAAAGAACTGGAATATATAATTTAAATATGGAAAAATCGAGTAACATTGGACTTTGTAATGCTACATTTAAAAATTCGGATATTACTTAATATATTTGTATAAACTGTTGATCGAGTTCGATAACATGTATAGAATTATTAACTTAGAAATAATTAATAAATTAAGATTAAAGTTAAAGTTTTTAAATCAAATGAAATATTAATGTTTTCAACTTGAGAAGTATTTAAAACTTATCTGTATTATATTTTTGCTTGAACATATCCATTTTGTAGAATTTGTAACGTGAACTATTTGAATATAATGAAATTAAAATTTTTTAGAAACAAAATATAATATGTAATATTTCTAATTGTAAATTAGTTTTACAGAAATATAATATTATCTACAGACAAATTCGAATTGTGTTGTTATAAAATTGTTTTTTTTGTAAAGAAAACAAATTTCATATAGTAAAATTACTACACATCCGATACAATTTTACCTTACAATTAAATTTAAAAGATTTTTAGTAACAAGCTTAAGTTAACATAATTCTTATTTATTACTCATTTTCACACATTATTATATAATTCTAACATCAAACACTGCTATAGACAGACTTTACTGCAGTTATTGACCTAACTTCATACTTATTGATTTGACAAATAGAATAGCTTACAAATATTATCCCAGTAGTAGAGTAATGTGTATTGATAACATTATATCACTACTCCATATAAGCAATAAACAATATTGTAATATAATACGCTATACTGAAATAAATAGTATAATAATATATATAAAAATAATAATTTGATAATATCTTATGCTTCAAACTATAATTATAAAATATGAAAACAGGAAAACTGTTATTCTCATGTGAGCCAGCATTTCTCAAACTATGGGTCGTGCTAAAATTTCAATGAGTCGCAAAATGATACTTTCTCCGCAGAAGTACTTGCAATTGTGGGGCTTGGGGGCCGTCAAAAATTGAATTACCAGAGTTTAGAGTAGGACCCTACTACAAGGTGTGTGTTGTCGGACACACCTCCGATTTAAAAAAAGGCAGATAGTTAATGCGCGATGGTAGGAATTACTCCGAAGTCCATGAATGAGCCTCTCAGGAGGGTTAATGCAAAGTTAAGTAAACTAATTTATGAATAAAAAAAATTTATTATGGAAAAATGAAACTTAACATTTGAACTTAGTTTAGATTAATAGTATTAATACGTACAAAATCAATTTTAGGGAGTTAGCCTATTTCTATTTGTAAAATGGGGAGTACCTAGCGAGGGATATCAAAACTTCGCGACTCACAACATATCAGGAAAAGAGTTGTCTTTTCTTCTAGATGTTGTGTTGATTTGCTTCTTTTCCCTCTCTTCTTTCTGATTTCTCTTCCTCTCTTCTTTTATTTAACTTTCTCACTTTTTCGCTTTCTTTTCCTTTCTTCTTCATCTTTTTGTCTTCGTTCTCCCTCATTCGGTCTCTCACTAAGTCTTTCTCTAAGTCTGATTTTCGTCATTCTCTTTTATTTTATTTCTTGTTTTGATTAATCATGATTTTGTTCCGGAGGAAATTGAGGTAATTTGGGATAAGCATAATTGGTCATCCCGTAGTCTTCCTTCCTTGTCTACGAAGAATTACATGCGTCCACCTGACATGGATGGAGTAGCATCTATGATCTAACACCATTGAAAAAGAGGGAAAAGACACGATAGCTATCTTCTTCGTCTTTTCCTTCGCATGTTGTGAGATTCATAACAATTAATTTATAATTTTTTTCATTCTAATTTGTTTCTTTGAATTACTTTTAACCGGAATTATTAAAAATTTAGAAAGAGGGTTCCTAAAATCGGAAAAATAGGCGTAATTCCTTTACAATGTTGGTTGATAAACATAAACAATTCCAATGTCGCGTTTACATGCACGTGGGTGCAAAGGGCGTCCTGTCTGGTAGTTAACAATTGTTCGTTGTACAATCAGATAAAACAAACAAAGGAATGTAAAATACATATATAGTTTAAAATACAATAAAATTTCCAACTTATTATATACAGTATATTGGTTGTTTGGTCAGTACTGAAAACAATTTTAACAACTTTTTTCCCTTATAATTATTGTCATTTATTAATAAAATTAAGATTAAAGAATGTATGTATCTAAAAATGATATTTTACGTAAGGTAGTAGTCATAAAGCCATTTTAGTTCTATGATTTTGTAATATTTTAAAATTGTAATATTTTTAAAAGTAAAATCGACTTATGTTTACGAAGATTATTCAAAATTAATACTTATAATTGATTACACATAGCGTTTAAAGTTCGAAGGTGATACTCATAGAAATGTTAAGAATTTTTACTTTCATTTAAGAGCAAAAAGTTTCATTTAAAATATCAAAATAGATGTTCGAAGCAGGTACTGAAAAGGTAATAATTCTATAATATATAAGTGGAATTTTTATTATATGTAATCTGCTAAATAGCAACTATAATCAGCGCAGCGAAAGAGTAGACATGAGTCAGCGTGTGCTGGAAGGATCTATGTCAGATGAATGAGATGGCGGATTAGTCCACATACGGATGACACTATCTGATACTATCATTATTTTATTCCTATTATGTCTAAAATATAGCTAGGTTGGAAACTTTTGGCTCTTATCTCATATACGAGAACATTGTTACTCGATAAATTTTCTAATATTTCAATTATTCTAATTTATCTAATATTACTAATAGCCTATAGTGACTTCAGAGAAAAGAAATTTCAAAGTAAAAATTTTAAAAAAATTATTCATGATCAACCATAACACAAGAATATTTAATAAATTAGTCTATATAAAAAATATTATCGCGTTTAAAAAAATTAATGCAAACATTTTTATCGTCAAAATATTATTTTAAAATCGACTTCTTTGCATTTTTAAAAATCACATGCATAATAATAAAAAAATTAACGAAAATTCTATTATTATCTCACGAATTTCTTTAATTCTATCTCATATACGTATGTATAAAACATAAATTTCAAATCTTTTTTTTATTAGTCATTACACGTAACTACTTTATGAGTGTTACATGACAATGTTTTTATTTTTTTTTAAATTATTCAATTATATTTAACGATATATAAGCAGAAGACAACGAAATTTACATTAATTCAGTAATAATATACTTGTAATTCCGGTTTCTTAAAAAAAAACAATACCAACTATTACAGATAATTAAAAGTAAGAAGCATGAAAATATTGAAGCAATAGTAATTTAATAATAATTATTACAATTAAATCAAGTATTATTATTTAATAACGTCAATTATAAGAAATGTACCATTAAAAATAAAAAAGTACAAATTTCAATATGTAAGTATGTTATTAGTAAAAAGCAATGCACAAATTTCTTACGTAACCTTAAATTTTTTTTTGTTTATGTCGTGTATAAAACAAGTAATGATTGATTATCTTATCGGATCAAAATGTCAAATACTATATCATTTTGAAATTATCTTAATGGAACGGCTACGTAAGACAAATTTAAAGTCGTTTTTCAACATGATATATTTATATTACACATTTATATCCTGAAATATTTACTGAATTTATCTTGTTTCAACCCAATTTTATTCGATTTATTATAATATTTTTTACTACGTAGAAGTACAGCATATAACAATAAATAATAATATGACCTATATAAAAATATTTACAAATCAGAAAAACTAATAAAATATCTTTATATCTTTTCCTTCTTTAACAACTTTAGGAACACATTTTATAGTTTTTTCTGATTTATAAATACTTATAAATTTATTATTATGCTTGGCCATTTAATTTACTAATTAATGTATTAGTTGAAATATTTTTAATTATATATTTTCTTTGAAATAGCATGCAAATAAATCTTCTAGACAATTTTCAAGAGTTCCAGTCGAGATTTTAATTTTCTTTGAAGGGATGGAGGGATCTACAATTTTAAAATATGAATTTTTAGAGACAAAAGTAGAGTCCCAATTATAAAATGTAATCATAAAATGGATCAAAATCAAATTAAAAACCTGGTTAAGATGTTCTCACCTGAGATGTTTTCTCTCCTAAGTTATTCAAATTCTGTAGTGTCATCATTTTGCCCATAAGCAGTGGCCTAGGGCGAAAAGTTTACACGGGCCTCGGAAATGATTGAAAAAGTTGTGGAATGAAGTCTGAGTTCCCGTGAATCCCGGGCCAGTTGAATTTTACCTCATCACCCCTCTCTCTCTTCTGCCCATAAGACGCTTGCTAAAAATTCTTGCGTAAGATGTTACAAAGTATCGATTCCATGAAACAATTTTTACCCGTTCAAAACGATTACGTCGGTGGCCAATAGTGTTTTTCTCAGAAAATGCATACACAGAAATCCTGTAGCCAATCGCCACTTCAAACTGCTTTCAATACTCCGTTAGTAAAATCTTTATAAAGATTTTTAATTCGCATGAATTTGATCTTTTATTATTCTAGATAACATTCTGAATGAACATCATTCATTTCAATCGAATTTTATCCTTATACGCATGAAATTAAGCGATAAAAGTAAAATAGCTCTATTGGGAAACCCCGTAAACTTTGACCTATTGAACCGAAAGTTTCGCCAGCATCTCGTTACTAACGAGAAAGGTTTAAGTTTTAGATTATTTAGATTTGAACTTTCTATACCCAGTAGTTTTTTTCCTCTAGGAGCGTCTGCAGAGCCGGATGAAGAAAAGAAATTATGGCTTTGTGGCGATTTTTTGCACTTTTCAATAGCTTATACATGCTCATTGAAATTTAATTTGAATAACAACGTCATGTGACGTCTAATGACGCGAACGAATATCTACGCCAATATTGAATCGATAGTCCTGTCGGTGATTAGTCGGACCGTCCACTTTCTTTAACATAGAAAGTATAGAAGTTGACCATCGATGGTCGACTCTGCCGTGTAGATTGTTCGGAAACCGAGTTATCGGCAACAGGGAGCAAATATGGCATTCAAAAATTTGTTCGTGAACAGAGGCGTTCGTAATCCGAGGTTTGACTTTTGTATTAAAATGATAAATTATTGCTTTATTTGTTATTATACCATAACTTATTTATTTCCGCAAAAGATGAATGTGACGTCATTCTTCCAAATCGGGTGTTTGCTGATCACTTATAACGCGAAGGTCTAAAAGTCATTTCCATTGTCACAATTGTTGTAAGAATACGATATACTGACAGTTGAAATAAAGCAAGGAAAGCTAATTGCCTCTGAAGTGAATGCTCTGAAGAGCACCACTAAGGGATATGAATGCGAGTAGTTGATGGAACATTGTACGCGTG